CAGCCCCTACAATTAGGGGCACTAAGATATGAATAGCAGCCAGTAAATTTTCCTGCATTATTGATTTTCACTAAGCATGTGACACATTGTATTTTCTCCAATCGAGAGGAGATACTTGTTTTCTTAGCACTCAGTCGATGTTGCTCCTGCATCACTCAAAGTGCAAGCAGTGAATCTGTGCTACAAGGGATGAGACCCATTTAACAACACCCAGAGTTTTCAACAGCCACTTCTGGCTTTTCTAGTTCCATCTCCTAACTCCACTTGGAGAAACTCCAAAATAAATTTCTTTCCACCTTGAAGTCACCTCTTTTCTTATTCTTTTAAATATACTGTCTGCCAAAGAGAGCTATCATTGCCTGTGGATTATTTTGCTGTCTTGAGGGAAAGGACGTGATTTTTTCTTTTTGATTCATTGCATATTAACCCTTTCCAAAAACAGCAAGAATTCCTTTGAATTAGTAAACCCAAGATAGACACAGAACTCGTGTGGAGAGAAGCCAATCAACCCCAGATGGAGTAGCATGTTGACAAGAGGCGTATCCTGGGGGGTGCATGTAGACTAAGAAATGGGGAGGAATGGGAAAATGGAAAAAAACCTTACTGGCTGCTGATCATCTTCCTCACCCCAACACACCCACCCACATACCCCAAATCCCTCAGGATTGGATGATCCTCCTGGAAAATAGGCTGATTTGGTCCAAAGTTTCAGAAAGAATTCATTGATTCAGAACTGCCTCACAATGAATTGGCCAATGACTATTCCATATTTGTGCTATCCAATACGGTAGAACTAGCTACATGATGCTATTAAGCATTTGAATGTGGCTAGTGCAAATAAGAATGTTGGTTTTTTTTTTTGCTTTTTGGTTTTTTTGTTTGTTTGTTTATGAGACAGAGTTTCCATCTTGTTGCTCAGTCTGGAGTACAATAGCATGATCTCAGCTCACTGCAACCTCCACCTCCCAGGTTCAAGCAATTCTCCTGCCTCAGCCTCCTGAGTAGCTGGGATTACAGGCATGTGCCACCACACCGGCTAATTTTGTATTTTCTCCAAGAGACAGTTTCTCCATGTTGGTCAGGTTGGTCTCGAATTTCCGACCTCAGATGATCCCCCACCCCCACCCGCTTCACCTCGGCCTTCCAAAGTTCTGAGATTAGAGGCATGAGCCACTCTTCCTTGCCCACAAATAAGAATTTTAAACTAAGCTTTAAATTTTAAATGTAGAAAAAGATTGCGGTTTGCTGAGCCTTGCCAACTCTGTCTTCCTATCAGGGCCAAAGGATACTAGAAAGGATTTCCAGGTTGTGTCCAGAGGCAGTGCAGATTTTTGGAGGAAGCTAGCATCATTTGACGGCAGCATCTGTCTTCCATTGATCGGAAAGCCAGAACTGATTAGGCTAATCCAGTTGATTAAGTAGATTCTCCTTGCTTTTCAGCCCTCCTCCCTGAACCTCCCTTAAGAAACATCCAATCCATTCAAAGAATAATCAGGTTATCAAAGGTGCCAGTTAATCCCACTCTTCTCAAATTTTTATGCCGAAGATGTGTAGCAAACCAATTTTCCTCACAATTCCATCCATAAAACAAAGAAAAAAATAATCATTCGCTTAGGTCTGAATGCACTAATCCTAGTTCCCAGTAATTCTCAAGCCCCTGTATAATTGTTGCTCTATCTCTTTGTTGTTTGTGTTCTTTAAAATCAACTCATACTTTTCTATCTAAATTTATTTGTGTAAGTGACTTTCTACCACTATACAGAGGCAAACACACAAGTCTGAGGTCCTAGTGACATATTTTCTAATTTACTATTAATTATTTTTTTCAGACAGGATCTCACTGTCACCCAAGCTAGAGTGCCGTGGTATGATCTCAGCTCACTCCAAGCCCCAGCTCCCGGGCTCAAGTGATCCTCCCACCTCACCCTCCCAAATAGGTTAGGACTATACACACGCACTATCACGCCCAGCTATTTTTTTTTTTTTTTTTTGAGAGATGAGGTCCCACTCTCTTGCCCAGGCTGGTCTTTAACTCCTGGGATCAAGTGATCTGTCCACCTTGGCCTCCCAAAGTGCTGGGATTGCAGGCGTGAGCCCTGTAATCCACACCCCACCAAAATTTTTTGAATAATAATATGCTTAACACATTCCCTGACCTAATGAGTATAAGTGGGTGGCTACATTTTGGACAATGTTGCCTATTATCCTGAAATTCAAGGATAATTATATGATTGTTCATTTATTTCCATCTCACTTCAGTTTTGCATAGAAATTTGCATTATACATTATATGAATCCTGTGAGAAAATATTGAACCTGCAAAAAGTATAGGGATCTGTATAATTGTGAAAAACTTCTTTGTGCTTAAGGAAAAAAATCTGCTTGCTTCTGATCACCAGACTTTCAGATGTGACCCTTTGTGACTCTACATCCCTTCTCTGCAGCACAGAATTCTGTCCTCCAAGCCTTTTCTTACACTAGAAGTGCAACCTTGCAATTGCCATTTAGGCTCCTTGAAAGACTATGCTTCTGCCAGGAGCCTTGTTCTGGGCATGTGATGCCCTTCACATCCAGACCGCTTTGACCTCCATGTTGCTAATCGCCTGTCTGTGCAGCCGCCCCTCACGAGTCATCATCACGGATGGCCTCCTTGCCTAATTTTACTACTCTTTCAGAAACAATTAATTGAGATTAGCCTATAAACCCTCCATATAAAATGGGCAATTATCAATTACTGACACTTCTCCAGCTCCACCCCTCTGTAAGAGAAGCACTCCAGGCCCCTTAATCACCTGCCATGTCTCCCTGCCGAGTACAGTGTGGGTGCTGGTCTGCCAGCCCCTCCCATCACTGTCTGACCTAGGCTGTAATGGGCAGACAGTGAGAGGTCCACTCAGAGCAAGAGGAAGCCCAGCTTGGCCTTCAGTGTCTCCAAATGTAGCCCAATGGCCACAAAAATCTATCTTCAGGTTTGTCTAGAGTTTGCAGCAGTTGTCACAGAACAGAGTAAGTACTCGCAGACCCCGATTTAAAAGATTCACTTAAAATGTATTTGTGGACCTACCACCTGGCAGGCACCTGGAACAGCAGTGACGGAGGCAGACACAGTCCTTACCCTCTGGAAGCCAATTTCTAGTTTGGGAGACATATTATACACTAGTAGTCAAGTAAATAAACAAGACATTAAATTTGATCTGCACTAAAAAGACAGTAGGCAAAGAAATATGAGAATATAACCATGATATGAAGGGGGACCTATCCAACTGTACAGCCCTTAAGCTGCACAAATCTATGTGGTGGCCATGTAAACGTGGATGGCCTCTCTGGAAAGGGGACATTTGAGCTGATGCTCAAAGGACAGAAGGAAAGAGCAGCCCAGCCAGAAAGGACAAGGGCCAAGGCCTGGCATGGGGTAGGGCTGACCCATTGGAGGAACAGAAAGGAGTCCCACGTGCTGGTGCATATGCAAGATGCAGAGACAGAGTGCAGCTGCACTGTCGGGAGGGTGTAGGTTTAGCCGAGTCTGGAGGTCAGTACAGATCCTGAGCACATGGGGAAGCAAATGAAGTTGCTTCAAGCAGAGAAGTGCCATGATATTGGCTAATTCATACTTTAAAAATAACCTCTGCTGCTGAGCACAGAATCAGTGACAGGCCACAAGACTGGAAGCAGGGAAATGTGGTTTAGGCCAAGCCAGTGGTTCTCCCCTCTGGCTGCACATTGAAACAACCCTTGGAGCAGAGCATTTAAAAATTAGTGATGCCCTGGTCCCGCCTACAGACAACAATTCCATCAGTGTGGGGTGAGTCCCAGGGGTCAGTATTTTTAAAAGCTCTCCAGGTAATTCTAAGGTGAAGCTAAGGATAAAAACACCGGCCTAGAGGTTATGCTGTGACAAGCTATAGAGAAAGTCTACACAGTGGTTCTCCATGTGGCTCCCTGAGCCAGCAGCATCAGCTTCACCTGGGAGATTGTTAGAAATTCAAATTCCTGGGCCCCACTCAAATCTACTCTATCAGAAACTTCGGGGTTGGGGCCCAGCCATCCGTTTTAACACAACTACCAGGTGATTATGTTACTGCAAATATTTGAGAGCCTCTGGTCTAGATGATACCTTTTTAGAAAACTGAGGATTATTCCAGGGCCAGAATTCCTGGTACTGGGAAGATGAACAATTATGCCAATAGAAAATATTATTATAGAAGATCTCAGAGTTAAAAAATAATGATAAAACTGTTCCGTATTAACAAAGATAAGGCATTAAGATTTCATCACCAGGAAATATGCTCAGAATACCTTCTTTTTTTTTTTTTTTGAGATGGAGTCTCACTCTGTCACCCAGGCTGGAGTACAGTGGCACAGGTCTTCATAATTGTTCATCATTGCAACCTCTGCCTCCCGAGTTCAAGCAATTCTCCTGCCTCAGCCTCCCAAGTAACTGAGATTATAGGCGTATGCCACCACGTCAGGCTAATATTTTTGTATTTTTAGTAGAGATGGAGCTTCACCCCATTGGTCAGGCTGGTCTCAAACTCCTAACTTCAAATGATCCTCACTCCTCAGCCTCCCAATGTGCTGGGGCTGCAGGCATGAGCCACTGCATCTGACCCAGAATAGCTTTTCCAATAGCGGTAACAAATTTATGATGAATCAGTGATACTCACTATAATAAGTTCAAGTCCCAGATCTACAAGACCAGCTGGATAACAAATAGCAAGGTGTTGCTTTTTCATACCATCTTATTGGACAAAATGTTTTTGTATACAGCACCGAGTTTCTGCGCCACAAGGCAGATACTACTCCAGCATTCCCACTTTATGGGTAAGAAAGCTGAGGTTCAAGTAGTTTAATTGATTGAAGGTCATACATTCAGAAATGGATTCTGTGGCTATGTTAAGCCTTCCACTCCACATTTTTTCCCAGAAGTAAGACACTAAGCTCACAGCTTCATATCATAGTTATCAGCAGAAAGCAAAAGTAGTACTTAAAATTGCTACTTACAATGTTTACGAGTAAACTGGAATCCAAAGCCTCTAGCTGAACCAGTGAGTTATCGCCAGTACCATGCAAGGCAGACATCTAGCTGTGTGGCAGGAAAGAGACCTACGGTGTCTGAGGCTGGAGATGGGGAAACAAGGAAGTAGCAACCCTCTGCTCTGCCCAGCCCAGCCAGAGGTCAGGTTCTGACCTGCGTCTTGCAGACCCGTGGTGCTCAGCCCCCACGACCATTAGAGTCACCTGGGGAGCTCATAAATTACAATACAAAGTCCTACTCCATGGGATCCTAATTTCAGTGGTCTGGGGTGCAATCTAGACCTCAGTATCTACAGAAAGCTGGCTGTGGGGCTCCGCTGTGACAACCACAACTGCAGAGAACAAAGTAGCCTGGGAGACATGGAGGGGCTGTTTTCAGAAAGAACCTCATGGAGCTCTGAGCACACACAAGGTTGCTTTATAGAGCGAATTGGAGAGGGAGCCTTGGGACCTTGCAGACTCAGGCAGACCACAGTGGGGAACAGGAAAGTGACTTTGGTGCTCAGAAGAGCAACTTAGAGTGGCAGTAGTGCCTGTTTGGCTGGACCAGGCTGCACCTGGGGATGCACAATGAGGGGGCTGGTGCAGAGAAGAAGAGGAGGTGTGCTTAGAGTGCTCGCCAGACATGGTCCCTGGGGCCCTCAAAATTAGCTGCTTGTGTGCGAAGGAGTCCACAGGTGAGGGTCATTGACATTTGGTTAGCAATGTTGTTCTGTTGTGCAAAATACTATGAATGCACTAGTCTGTTTCTACAAGTCCCCATCCAGTTACTGGACCTGCTTCATTCTTCATCATCTCGTTTCCACTTCTCCCTCCCTCTGACTACAAGGTAATCAGTCCCCTAGTGCATAGCTGTGGGTGTGGATGGCAGAGAACCAGACATTCTGATGAGGGCCGCTGCAACACAGAAGTGGCAACAGAAATCCTTCTGCAAGTTACAGCTCACAACAAAGCTTTCTCCCCCTTGGAAACCTTTTTTTCTTAATTGTAGGGTGAGTCCATCAGGAGAGGTGTTCCTGGTGCTAAATGTCTTGACTGAGGTTTGAAAAACAACAACTACCCGTTGAAGAATTAGCTGAAAGCCTGTGGCTCCAGGTGCAATCAAAGTTGCTAATGGGAAACCTTTGGCTAGTGCCCTAGAATCAGGTAATAGATGCTGCCTTTCCCATGGTGGCTTTCAGGAAAGGAGGCCCCGGACAGCATTTCTAGGAGTAATTATGCTCTCATCCCAACCTCGCTACTAAGGGAACATGAACTCTACTGCAGCGTTCACCACCGCTTTTCATTTTACTGCACAAGCGAACTTGTATTGCACCAGGAAGATAAAAGATTTCAGGTTCCAAGGCTGTCAGACATTTCCACTTATGAATTTAGTGAGATTCCTAAATCATGGCTGAGGCACAGCTTCCGAAATCTCTCCCCTCATTTTCAGGTTTTCTAATAGCTCCCTATGCTCTTGTGGTATCTTGGTGCAATCACGCTAATAGGAACAATTTAATGGAGTCCTGGGGAGGCTAAGGTTTGTAGGATTACATTTCAACACTCAGCTCCTTGTCCGAGAGAAACACCCTTCCTTAATAGACTCCCTGGATTCTAGACCTGCTCACTTCTTTCTCAGCAGATCCAGCTGCACCTGAACAGGAGAGAAGAATTAGAAACTTGGTTACTGCTCCTTCTTGAATCTCAGCCCCAGACAAAAATGGGTTTAGGGCAGGTTAAATGCTAATCACAAATTAGGATTCATCAACATGCAGAGACCGAGAATCATTTTTCTCAGTGCTCAGAGCAACCTGTCTAAAGCACAGCCCTTTGTACCTCTCCTATGTATATTACCATCCACCAATTAACTCCAACCAGAATCCCTGAGGCTTGCTCCTCCAGCTTCCTCGCACCCCCCTCATCTAGCCAAAAAGCAAATAAGCTTTCTCTGAAGGTTTCCTGAAACACATCCTGTTCTTTCTGTACTCAGTGCCTTTGTCCTGACTTGGCCTCATCAGCTCCTGTCTGTATTCATCTCAACAAATATTTAGGGGGCTGCCGCTATGTACCAGGGCTAGGTGCTGAGATCACAGGAGGACATGGTCTCATGAGAAAGATGCATTAAACAAATAAGTACGCAAATAGTTATTGAATAACAAATGCCATAAGTGGTACCAAAAAAGTGCTATTGAAATTGGTGGGTGTAACTTGCCTCAGAGGTTCAACTGTTGGAAGATAAATCGTATTACCTCCTAAGAACACAGAGGAGTCCAGCTTCTGGTCTGGCTAAAGAGACTCCTACAGAAATCAGGAGTCGCAAACATAACACCTGTAAACTCTGGAGAAAATACAAAAGAAAAAAACAGCAATGACCTGAGGGTATAAAGAGTGAACACAGACATTCAGGAGGGTAATCAAAACTTAGAAGAAAAGAAAGGCATAAAATGAGCCTGGGTAACATAGCAAGACCTCATCTCTATTAAAAATCAAAACTATTAGCCAGGCATGGTAGTGGGTGACTTTAGTCCCAGCTACTCAGGAGGCTGAGGCAGGAGGATTGCTTGAACCTGGGAGATTGAGGCTGCAGTGAGCTATAACTGTGCCACAGTCTCTATGGCTTTAATCTTGAAGGCAAGCCAAACTCAGCTCCACATGGAGTACATAAAACTTTGCAAGAAGAATTATGATTTTTCTGACCTAAAGAACAAAAGAACAAAGTCTGGGGCTATCATAGCCACTAGAAAGTAAGGAGTAATTTTTGAGAAGAGAAAAAAGGGAGAGAACTCTGATTTCTACATGTATGTTTTACCCAAGTGTGTGACTGACCTGAACTAAGTATGCCCAGAGCAGATTTCGAAACAGCCTAGACAAGGATACAGAATTGGACTGAGACTTGAGCTGCTGCTCAAAAGACAGTTTATCATTTCAGTTCAACCAAGTTAATGGCTTGATAAAACAAAAACACCAATGCTCTTCAGAGGAATATAATAATATCCAGTGTGTATCCAGAATTCAACCGAAAGTTACTCAACATGTAAAGAATCAGAAACTGTGATCCAGTCTCAAGGGTAGAGACAATACATAGAGACCAATTTTGAGATGACCCAGATGTTGGAACTGAAAAAGAATTTGAAGCAGCTATTCTAACTACTGTCAATGAAATAAAGAAAATTTTGCTTATAATTAATGTGAAGAAAAACGGAAATTATCTTTAACAAAAAGAACCAACACCAGGCATTGTGGCTCATCCCTGTAATACCAGCACTTTGGGAGGTGGAGACAGGAGGATCTCTTGAAGCCAGGGGTCTGAGACCAGCCTTGGCAACATAGTGAAACCTCATCTCTATTTTTCAAAAAATAGCCAGGCGTGGTGGCACACACCTTTAGTCCCAGCTACTCAAGAAACTGAGGCAGGATTGCTTGAGTATGGGAGATTAAGGCTGCAGTGAACTATGATGGCACCACTGCACTCCAGCCTGGGAGACAGAGTGAGACCCTGTCTCAAAAATAAATACAAAATAAATTTAAAAATTTAAAAAGAACCAAATGGAAACTCTCTAACTTAAAATTGCAACATCTGAAATTTAAAAGTAAGCATAGGCTGAGTGCAGTGGCTCATGCCTGTAATCTCGACACTTTGGGAGGTCAAGGCAGGCAGATCACTTGAGGTCAGGAGTTCGAAACCAGCCTGTCCAACATGGCAAAACCCCATCTCTACTAAAAATACAAAAATTAGCTGAGCATGATGGTGTCCTCCTATAATCCCAGCTACTTGGGATGCTGAGGCACAAGAATCACTTGAACTCAGGAAGTGGAGGTTGCAGTGAGCCGAGAACATACTACTGTACTCTAGCCTTTCTCAAAAATAAATAAAAATAAAAGTCAGTACAGGAGTTTAACAGAAAATTGAGATGGCAGAAAAAAGACTGTAAAATTTAAGATAGATTAAAAGAAATTGTCGAATCTAAAGAAAAATATGCAGAGCCTCAGAGAACTTTGGGACAATAATATATTGTCTAGCTTTTGTATACTTATAGTCCTAGACGGAATGAGAGGGAGGGAGGAAAAGAAAGAAAAAGAAAGAAAGAGATGGACAGAAAAATATTTGAATATATTAAAGTCAATATTTCTCTCATTTGGTTACAATTATACATTTACATCTTTCCAAAACTAAGCAAATCTCAAGCAGCATAAATACAAAGAAAATTATGCCTATCACATCATAATGAAACTGCTGAGAGCCAAAAGTAAAGAGAAAATCTTGAAAGCAGCCAGAGGAAAATGACACATTACATAGAAGGGAGTGACATTATCACAGACTCCTAATCAAAAACCAGAAGGAGGCCAGAAGACAGTGGAACAACATCTGTAAAGTCCTGAATTTAAAACACGCACACACACACACACACACACACACACACACACACACACACACACCTGTCCAAAGAAAGTTCTATATCCAACTAAAATGTCCTTCAAGAATGAAGACAAGTATTCACTTTGGCACATATACTAAAAAAAAAATTTTTTTTTAAGACAAAATAAAAACATTTTCAGATGTAAGAAAATTAAAAGAATTTGTCACCATCAGATCTGAACTTCAAGAAATGCTATAGGAAAATTTTCAGGCTGGGAAATAACTTTTGAAAATCAGAACAATTTTTTATTCCTACAATTATCAATGATTCAAATACTATCTAAAAATTACAAAGCATGTAAAAGTATTAATAGTTATCAAAAAAGAATATTCACTTTAAACTATTAATGGCACTCTAAATAGAAGTCATCAAATGAGCAAAATGGTTAAGTCAGGTACAGTAACTAAGTGTATACCTGTATATTATTAAAAGAGTAAAATGGTACTTGTGAATAGAAATAATGACTATGTTGCTAACAAAAAGTTATATCGCTGTAGCTCTAAAATATTTATAGTCTTTGACCTAATTATTTCTCTTCCAGGAATCTACCTTAATAGAAAGTCACACCAAGAATAATGTATGAAGAGATTCATCACTGCTTTTTCCAGCAAAAACCTAAACCTGGTAGTAACATGTTTCAATAATTGGCTTGTTAAATATTCTATAATTCACTGTTCTGGCTGCAATAAAAACTATATTTTTAAAGACTATTTAATGTTAAAAATCATTTTCATTGCAAGAAGGATAGCAATTTTATATTTGATGTGTGTATATTTAGACTTCCATGAAAAAATACTGTAATGTTGCAAATATTAATTATTATCTCTGGATGATTTATCATTAGAAATTTTTATTTTTTAATCTTTTGTTTTACATTATTTTTAATAAGGAAATTAATTATTGGATAAACTTGTGTATTCAGTATAAACTTACATTTTGATGTGCATAGAAAAAGATCACAAGAACAAAATTCC